TGATCTTTTTGAAATATGCCTGTACTCAATCTGCAAGTATTTTTGTTGTTTTTTGCGGCAAGGGTTTCTCTGTGAAACAGTCCTGTCTGTCCTGGGAATCACTCTGTAGACCAGTCTGGCCTTGAACTCACAAAGATCCACCTGTCTGCTTTCTGAGTGCAGAGATTAAAGGCCTGAGCCACCACTGCCTGGCAGTTTGCAAGTATTTTATTAAGGATTTTTGCACCTATGTTCATCAGGAATATTGATTATAGTTTCTCTCTCTCTCTCTCTCTCTCTCTCTCTCTCTCTCTCTCTCTGTGTGTGTGTGTGTGTGTGTGTGTGTGTGTGTGTCTGGTTTTGTTACTAAAGTACAATGGAGTTTGCTTCCGTCAGTTCAGAAAACTGTCCAGAGTTGGAATAGTAATAAGCTTATCAACATATATAAGTGGATTGATTCCCTGCTTGTGTAAAATGGACATAGCAATAGTCTTTGTAAAACACTTTGGAAATGTCTGATTTATTTAAGATGTTAGTTAAAATATTATGAAACGTCTGGCAAAGGCATGTGGTGATATATTATTTATGATTTATTAAAGCTTGCCTGAGGTTTTGGAAAGCAAAGTCAGATACAAGCCATAGAAGCCAAGCACACACATTTAATCCCAACAGCCAGAAGCTAGGAGGTGATGATGCACACCTTTAATCTTAGAATTTAGGATTAAGAGATAGATGGATCTCTGTGAGTCCAAGTCCACCCAGATCTACACAAGAGTAAATCAGTCTAAAAGAGTAACAGATCACACACCTTTAATCCCAGCAAGAGTAAATCAGTCTAAAAGAGTAACAGATCACACACCTTTAATCCCAGCACTAAAGAGGTATAAATGATAAAAGCAGGGTCTTCAGTATTCAGTAAGAGGCATTGATTCTCCAGCCACACTGAAGATAGGAAGACTCAGTATCAAAGAGAATAGGAAGACATTCAGCCTCAGGATTCTCCAGTTATGCTGAGGAGAGGCAGTAGCTTGAGGCCCCTTTCAGCCTGAGCTTGAGGTAAGAGCTAGTGGCCAGATGCTTTGCTTCCATGATTTTCATCTTGAACCCCAATATCTGTCTCTGGACCTTTTATTTTTCATGTTGCAAAACATATTTTCACAATGGCTTTTGTGGGACCCAGAGTGGCAGCTGAAGTTCTGAGGAGGCTTGTCTTTTTCTGCAATATTATCTATATTAGATAAAGCAACTGTACACCTGATTGAGTCAGGGAAATTGAAGTGATGAAACAGTCAGCAACAATGTGTCAAGTGATTAGAAGAAGACTGGTTAAAAGTTTAAATCCCTTCCCACTCGTTAATCTCCAACTGCTAAAGACAAACAGAAAGTGAAATTAACATGATTGTAAACTGAGCACTGTGTCCAATGGCTGCATTTCAGGCCTGCTGAGAAAGAATGAGTTGATCAAAGCAAGTGAGTTCTCTTAGAACTGTGGGGCTGTGGCTGTCCAGCAGGGCACAGCCAGCTGCTATTATCCAACCTGTTTCCAGGAACAGGTGAGCCCCATTATTAATCTTGGCTTCCATTTGGAGAGAAGCAAGATATGCATCTCCCTGTCCTCTGAATTTGTATATTAACCCCCTGAGTTCTGGTGGGGGCGTAGGGGGAGTTTTTAAATTGGTCTAAAGACGTTTTCTGTCCTTCCAAACACGTGGAGGGGGATGCTGAGTTCCCTAACTGAAGGGTTTAGGACATATCCCTGGAAAGCTGTTGATTGCTACCTTGCTTGGTTTGGTGCATCTCACATCTCAACTTACAGTGCAAAGCCTCTGTAAATAAAGCTAGGTTTTGTTTTGTTGGCCTTGAACACTATGTAAATGAGGAGGATATGGAACTCCTGGTCCTCCTGTCTCTAACTCCTAAGTGCTGGAATTATGCACTGCTATGCCTGATGCTAGCAAGTTTTTTTTAATTAAAAAATTATTCAGAGACCCCTGGAACCTCACATCACAAGCAGGCCATGCAAATGCAGATTTTTGATACTGGAGATCTTTTCAAGGGCAAATGCTTCTAAAACAACAGGCTTTTGAGGGCTGTCAAGATGACATAGCAGGTTAAAATGTCTGCCTGGTACCCTGAGTTCTGTTTCTGGAACCCATATAAAGTTGGGAGAGACACTCCACTCCAAAAAGTTGTCCTCTGACCACCACACATTGACACACACAAATAATAAACATTCTTTTAATTTTTTCATATTTGCATCATTTCCTGTAAATATTTTTTTTTTAATCAGTGGAGGCTAGAGAGATGGCTCAGTGGTTTGTAGCATGGCCTGCCAGAGAAGGATTCCTAGCATCTATATGAGGTAGTTTACATCCAGCTAAAACTCCAGCTGCAGCATGTCCTGGCTCATTTCTGCGCTCCTACATGCATGTGTGTATTTCTTCACACACAACCAAATGCATACATATAATAAAGGTAAAATTACATCTAGAAAACAAAATCAAAAGGCTTGTGAATTATCCAAATGATGTTCCTAGTTTTATATATTCTAGGTATAGGAAAATAAACAGACACCTGTCCTGTTCACTCCTCTGCACCAAATTGACTTTGAAAACAAGAAAATGCAGTAACTTGTGTGAAGGGAGCACAGTCATCCCTTCACATCCTAAGGAGCTACTTTCAGGACCTCTTACTGGCTCCAACATGAACAGGTTCAAGTCCCTTCTATAAAATTTCACTACAATTGCATGTAACCTATGAAAATCATCACATATACTTTAAACTATTCACAGATAATTATGATGCCTAAAGCAATGTAAGATGCTATGTAAATAGGGAATGAAGACGAAGAAAAAAGTCTAACATATTGCATATAACCTACGGACACCCTCCTATACACTTTAAATAAATCTCTAGATTATTCATAGTACCTTGGATAATGTAAATAGTCTGTGGAAGCAGGACATAGTAGCACACACCTTTAATCCCAGCACTTATAAAACAGAGACAGGCAGATAGATTTCTATGAGTTCAAGACCAGCCTTGTCTACAGAGTGAGTTCCAGGACAGCCAAGGATAAACAGAGAAACCCTGTCTCAGAAAAACAAAACAAAACAAAACAAAAGACACCACACCAAAAATAGCTTAGGGAATGACAAAGGAAGAAGTGTGTGCATTGTCTGTGTAGATAGAAATTTATCTAGAATATTTTAAATATGAGGCTGGCTAATTCTGAAGATACAGTCTGTATGAGGCTTGACTATAACTGTACCAGCCACAGAGACTTATCATTAGAAACCCAGGGATTTATGCTAAAATGCAGGGCTGAATTAAGTGCACAGTAAAATAAAGCTAAACCAGAGAAGGCCATCTTTCTTCTTTGAGGAGACAATAAATTATGGGTATAGGCAGGAGATGGTAAAAGGTGTCCTCCACCATTCACAATGAAGAGCAAGCAAAACCACTTGGTCACAGTAGATGAAAGAAAGGGCTGAGGGCCTTTTAGAACAGGCAAAGTTTGGGTGTCACTCTCTCTTCTGATTCTATCAATAGTGGCTGAATGCAGTGATGTTACAATTGTGTAGCAGTGTTCTTATTAGATATGCATATCAAAATACTTTAAAATTTTTAAAGTTGGGACTATTATTATGGCTCAGTAGATAAAGATGTTTACTGCCAGACCCAAGGACCTAATTTTGGTCCCTGAAACCAAAATGGTAGAAAAGGAGAACAGACCTCTCTGGCTCCCATATGCAGGCTAAAATGAATGTAATTAATTTTTTAAAGAAAAAGCCCAAGGTTAAGCTAAACATTTATTTTAAAGTTCTTGAGGTCACAAAGCTAGCAAATAGCAAATGTGGGTCTGCTTTGAACCAATTCCCATTCTAGCTACCACTCAATCAATACCTCCCAGAATAGATTTTGTCTTCTCCTCATCACCTACTGAAATCTCTACTCTCCAAATCCTTCTAATAAACAGCATCCCCTCTTTTAGGACGCTACCGGTGGCTTGTCCACCATGTTTAGGCAGCCCTCTTTTGATCCCTTCATGACTACTGGACCCCATGTGTATATCTGTTCTTCTCCACTAGACAGCAACCCCTTGAAGGTAGGGATCTAGTTTTCTGCAGCGTGTGACACATACTTCTGCAGCAGAAGAATATCATTCATATCTGAAGTTTTCCTCCACCTTTTGTTTTGATAGAGAAATTCTGAACATACATATTCTTTTAATGCATCAGAAAGAACCTGGAGCATGGCAAACTAACAGACAAGATTTTCAATAAATACTTTAAATTAATAAATGGATAATTCCTCCCTTCCTGTGATTGAGTCACTTTCCCTGAACAAGCAAGCTTAACTCCTGCAGGAAAAGACTTATGCTTTGAAATTACTTTTATCCTTTATCATTTTAAAACCGGTAAATTTCTCCCTCTTTTCATCTTCACAATCACAAAGTGCATGATTTTCACTATTTGAAAATGTGAGATTTGTGTGTGGTGGTGGGGGGGGTCTTGGGTTTACCCTTTAACTGGTAGCGATCATGTTCAGCCTCTCAGCTAAATGCCACAGATTCATAAATCGGGGCTTGGAGGTGCCACTGCGAGGAAGAAAGGAACACGTTAGACTGATTTATTTCTAACCTGTCTTCCCTTAAATGATTGTGTTAAGGTCTCACATTATTGGGTGTGACTCCCTGGCGACAAAATGTTCACAACGTGTACTGATTACGTCTATGACTTAAAGATGTGGGAAAACGGAAGAGTTAAAACGGTGCTAGGAAAAGCAGCGGACTTTTCTAGATGCTCTCATTGCAGAAACGAGGGAAAATTGACAAATAACCGTCCTAGAGGTTATTTGTCTGGGTTGACAGTCCCACAGAAAGGGAGGACCCGAGGTTCTGACAGATGCGTTTGCCGCAAGAGCTCACACTTGAGGTGGGCGGGAGCCTGGAGCCCAAGGCTAGGGGCGTGGCCGAGGGAGGGCCCGCGGCTCCGGGGGCGGGGCCGCACAGGGCGAGAGGCAGCCTGGGAAGCAGCGCCATATTGGCGGCGTCCGCGCTGTATTGTCATAAATAGAGCCGGTTTTGTGGTGTTTTCACTACTCGGTTGAATGCCTCGGCCGTAGCGAGCGGGGAAGTGAGCGAGCAAGCGAGCTACAAGCGAGCGAAGGGAAGTGGACAGAGGAAGGAAGAGAGGGCAGTAGCGGGACCCCAGAGCGAAAGGCACTCGCTGGAGAGAGACGCAGGAAGCGATGAAAGAGATGTCTGCGTAAGTGGGGGCGGCGGTTGAGGGCGAGGTGGAGAGAGGTGC